TGTCGTGTTTATGTATAACGGGATGTTCCTGTTTTTAATTTAAGAGGGTCATTCATGCTAAATTATACCAGATGAGTGTACGAGATTACTAACGCCATACTCAAGTGCAATTCGTCACGACACAAACGAGAGCAGCAGTTGCGGGTTTGAATTTGAACGCGAATCCTATTGAAGCGGGTTTTATTTGCACTGGTAAATGACGAAGATTCATACGGAGATCCTTCAGATGTAAGCGAACGTTTTTTTCGGTTGTATGTGTAACTTATACATTTGTTTCAGCCCAAGTCTTCTGTACATTTCGGGGCGGCGTGTTGCACTTTATCTAAGTGTGTTTTTAATTTGTGTGAAGTTGGAGACCAGGTGAACTTGTGCTTAATACACAAAAGGGCTCAGCATTGCTGTCCTAATTAGCACGAACTACAAGACGCTCTGAGTCGGAGCATTTCAATTAATTTAAACCGTAAATGAACATGTAGGCCACGTTAATGTAGAATTATTACTTGGTGTCGCGTTTATGTATAACGGGATGTTCCTGTTTTTAATTTAAGAGGCTCATTCATGCTAAATTATACCAGATGAGGGTACGAGACTACTGCGTTTGATTTTGAACGCGAATCCTATTGAAGCGGGTTTTATTTGCACTGATAAATGATGAAGATTCATACGGAGATCCTTCATATGTAAGCGAACGTTTAATTTCGGTTGTATGTATAACTTATACATTTGTGTCTGCACAAGTCTTCTGCACTTTTAGGGGGCGACAAGTTGCACTTTATCCCAGTTTGTTTTTAATGTGTGTAACGTTTCTATTTGAGGCTGCGAGTTAGTTACGGTATGTCCAACAGTGGACAAAGGCGAGGACCACATCTTCCTCACCGCGGAGTCAGTCAATAGTGTCAAAAAGCACCAGCTAATGTCCAGAAACGTTTGCGTTTGTTTTTTTTTAAACGGATCGTAAAATAAGGGACTGGTACGTGTTTCCATCTCCAGGTAAGAAAACATGAGTTTTGCCGCTCAAAAAAAAATGTTCAGCTTTGGCGATTAATGAAGATCTGTTTCACTTCATGTCGGGTCAAGACACCAACCCGATTGGTCCAGAGGGCAGCCGAGGGAATCTTCCGATTGGTTCAGAGCAAGGTAACCAGCACTCCTGATTGGTCCAGAGGGCAGCTCTGGGAGGGCTCTGTCTGAAAGTGCGCTGGGCAGTAGTAGCGGGCGCTTAAGGAGAGTTCAGGACGTCCGAGGTCTGTTCGCCTCCAGGTCTTCAGACCTCAGACT